TTTTATCGTGCATTTCCTTTTCCTAGCACCATTTTGCTTCACGGACATATTCTGTGATTGACAAGGTCACTTGACTGGGTTGAAATTAAATTGTGAAAGGACTTAGGTGCCTATTGCTACCAATTGATCTCAGCGTCTTGCCAGTAATATAAAAATTTACCTTAAGCTCTAAAACAAAAGGATTCAAAATGAGCTTTTTAAACTTCTTAGAGATGTGTTAGATAGGCGGTGCATCCAGCAACCCGTACCGGGCGATATGAAAAGTACATCGAAACACCGGCAGGCAATGACGAGAAAATTAGTCCCTAGTCCTCTCTCAGACGTGCGAACTCAGGAACCTGGAAACCGGTGATGAAGACATTTTTTTCAGCGTACTATCGTTAAAGTCATCCATGGTAGCGGCGCGAACTCGACAAAGACTGTTGCTAGCACTCTTTAAATGTTTATTTTTGTCCTTCATGAGACAAGAATGCAGATAGGCCACCTTTAGAGCCAGTCTCTTGACTTCATCCTGCACAAAAAGAAAGTGATTATTCCGGGATATGTCTACGTGAAAACGAGCCCTGTATCTCGCAATATTTATTGAAGGAGAAAAGGGAGATTGATTGCATGTACATAAACATAGTTCATGGCTTGACAGTAGATCAGAGCCTCGTGTAGTATTACGTACACCTTAGTTTTACTTGAGGTAAACTCCAAATTCGTGATCATGGATCTAGAACTCGTTTGTTACAAAAATTGTGCGGGTTATATAACGTACGCTCTGATAAGAAAGCTTCGCACGCACCATTATGACTACGTTGCACAAATTTAGCTCAGAACAATTGCCAAAACCTTGCATCAGGCTTTAACAAGGCTTAATGCAGTCACTCCTCTTTTACACCAGCTAAATAATGGTGCAACTCAAAGAACTACTTTCGTGTTTGCGTCAGGCTTTGTCAACGTGCTCGTGAGTTCTTGTTCGTGAAAAACATATCATCTTTCGCTTCCCACAACCAAAATTCAATTTGTAAGAATGCATCTATGTACTTCTATAGGTGACATCTATTCAATTGTTCACCTTAGCTTGCCTACTATGGCTGACACCCCTCTTTCTCTCCGTGAAAATTTAAATTTATTCGTACAATGTACGTTGAAATCGTCAAAATGGTGTCACATTTCTTGTGCTCGAAAAGGTATTCTCATCAATATCACTGTATAAAAAGAGAAAAAAATACCATATGCATTAAATGTAAATTACCTTTAAATCTTCGTTTTCTCTCTCCAAAGTGGCCGCATCATTCAAGCAACTGCCGTTAGGGGTCTGGATTGAACCTCTCGGATGGCCAGTTAATCGCCGACTGATCTCTTGTCCACTTATCTTACGTAATAACACGAACTGTTAAGAAATTAAAACCAAAAAAATCAAAATTGATTTAAATAAAATATTACCGAAACACAATAAAACATACTCTGTTAAAAGCACTTTTAGCAAGTTTAAGTATCTTTTAACACATTTGAGATCTCATTGGTCGATTGGTCTACAGTAAAAACTGCGTCTAAGAACCTAGTGGTTTAAGAACCTGCTGGCAGAAATTTGCCATTTTAAAACCCAAAAATATCAGAACCTGTTAAGCCAAGTAAGATCAAGCAGGTTCTTATATGTGGGTAAAAATTTGCAGTCTCACTCTCTGGTTAAAATGCCGGCTTGTCATAATTTAACTGAGACCCACATTTTCTTGTAATTTAAAAATTACAAGAAAATACCTAAAAGAGTTGTGAATACATACTGGATATTTAAGGACCAAACCCAAGTTTATTTATTATTCTGATAGTTAACAACTATATCCCCTTCATAAAAATTAAGAACCTACTGAATTAAGAACCTACTTAGCCTAAATTGACAATAACTACCCCAAAATACAAGAACTTATTTTGCCGGACTTCAGAACATGAAGGTTATAACACGCGAGATTTTACTGATGTTTCAAGTTACATCATTTTCGATGTATCAAAAAGCAACTTGCCTTTGGTATAAACAGCAGCAATACCGTCACGGTAGCCGTCATCTGGATGAGAATAAATTCCGTCGCGAACAGAATGTCGGGATTGGTGTTGTTGACTGTCAGAATCCTAAGGCAAAGAGATCAAAAGCTAACCCTCACATACATATACATAAGTAGTTTCTAGTCAGCTTTTAAAGGACGTGTTCCGGAGACATAAAGCGGGAACATGTTGCAGTGACAGTTTTCCTCTTATGACGTACCCGTTTTTGGCGAGAAGGTTCTGTTGCGGGACAACATTTTGTTGCCACAGAAGTTGCATGAAATTCAGCTGGTTCGAATTCGTACATTAATTATGAAGCTGGGACAATATGACCTTAATTTTCAATGTCGCATCGTGTGCAAAGTTCTTAAAAATTGTCTTCGCCACAAAATATTTTTATGCCTCGATCCGCTTCGTATTTTTATGCCTCGATCAGCTTCGTATTTTTATGCCTCGATCAGCTTGCGTACAGTCCCTGAAACATGCGACCTATGCGTAAACAAGAACGAACAAATGAACAAATGAATGAAGGGTGCGTGTGTGCAGACGATTCGTTAGCTGGGGTTATTCTCTGACGGACTAGCATATCATTCAGGGGGAAAACTACTTAATTCATAACGTAACCAGCTCCCAGTTGGCTTGATAGCTCAGTTGGTAGAGCACTGCACCGTTTTCGCAGAGGTCATGGGTTCGAATCCCGTTCAAGCCTGATTGTTTTCTCCGCACTTTCTTTCTCCGCAGTTCAAAGTTAACATCTGTCAGATTCGTACTAGTATTGGAAATCAGTATTAGAATCGTATTAGCTCAGACATGTCCAGTTTCTTTACCTCCTAACTACTAGGTCTATCACCTTTCATACCATAAACATGGCCAAACGCAATCCCTGATTCTCATTTTCAATATGGTGCGTACGCGTTACTGAAAACGGGAAATTCAGATTTCTCACCTCAACACGCCGACAAAACACGTGATAAACATGGCATTGTAAACTGCCCAAGAAATGAATCTGGTTTCGTTGTAGGCTGATGGAGCATTTCGAACCCGGAAGCACAAAAACATGGAGCCCACCAAAAGAATAAAATCGCCTGTGAGAAAAATAAATATGGAAATAAAAACTAAAACAAGTTTTATACGTTACTACTGCATCACATCCTTCTTCATCTTTCCCTGTTATATTCAAGACAATTAGTTACTGCTAACTAAAACCTCGATGAACTTATAATATCAGTTTTTACTGATGAAATTATAACCACAAAAGGAGGGAATGCACGACTTCATACAAATACATCTAACTACGATCTAAGTTTAGAATTGGCTCAACGCTTTCCGATTCAATCTTGTGTAATTTTGTCTACACGCATATGCAAAGAATTAAAGTCCCTTTTTCAGTGTGTCGTCCGGGCCCAGAACTAACTTGAAACGGTTGCCATCTTGCTTTCGGATGTCAAGCGCAAGATTGTATGCTCTCCCCAGATTGTGCTCGCCATGTAAGACCAAGATGGAGAACGTCTAAGAAGGCCTAATTTGTAAGTCGCAGACATGTAACATGCACGTCTGTCGTTCGCCAAATCCCACAAAACTCTGGCGTTAAAATCAGGATAAAATAATGAAGTACCCATGCAAAACACCACGCAGAACCGACTGCTTTCACAGCTTATGACTTTGTAAATCGAGTCAAGCAATACCGGTAAGATTCCTCCGGTTTGTATTACATTCGATAAAGCTAAACACGACATATTGAATAGCCACTTAAAGGTCCTCGCGATAAGCACGCAAATCAAAGTTCAATATAAAGAACAAAGAAAACTGAATACATGCAAAGAGTATTGCTGTTGTGATATTTGGTTTTTACTATTTTTCGTCTTCACTCCATTTCGTAGTTCATTGTTCTTTACAATTTTCGGCAGAAAAACTAAACACGTAAATTACAGCTTACCGGACACACTGACGTATGCCATGACGTCATCATAGGAGCACTGTGTAAATCGCAGATCGCTTTTGCCATGGACCACGTGTGGACGCATGAATAAGGTCCAGACGATAAGATAGATGATAACTGCGGTACACAGTATGGCTAGGCGACTCGCCATCATGCTTTCTGTCACGTCCACCCGTCTTGGAGAACGAACACGGAACGATGTCGATACCCTGAAAGCAAAAACAGAAAAAGGCGTGGTAACCAAAAGCCCGTCGTCAAAGTTCGCGTTCCTCAGGCTAAGCAGAATTTGGTTATTTCACGTTTTTGTTTTGCAGAGGACGGCAAAGAAATGTACAAAGATTTATCATGCACGTGCACAGCCATTGTTCAACTCATTAAACCTTTTGTTTGGTGACGTTCTCGTTGCCGTCGTCGTCGTGGTTTGCTTACGCTCCCTAAAGCGAGTAGTGCTACTTCCAAAAGGATCTATTACTCAGTATAGACAGGAGTCCATTACTGGACTGCGGAAAATCATCACTTCAAAATAGTTTTCACATCATCCTTCTATACTCAATGTGTANAAACAACCTTCATTGATTAAGTTAATATGAACGGGGTAGACCTAGCCTGCAAAATTGGCGGATTAGCGGGTCGGAGAGCGAAATACGAGTCGTCTCGCACTCGTGGTCGCGCTCCGCAATCGTGTTTCCCGTTTCGCTCTCTCTCTCCCGCTAATCCGCCTGTTCTGCAGGCTAGGACCACAGAAGCAATCTCGACGAACAAGATTACCTTGCTTTCCCTGTAGATTAAAACCAGAGCTCCGATAACTAAGGCCAGCAGCGCTGCCACACCATCAATAGTGATAAGAATTACCCTTGGGGTAATTTTCACTTTATACACACACGGGCTGTCATCCTCGCATTCCTCGCAACCCTCACTACAAGGCATGCACTCAAACTCATCGTCATAAGAAGACGACAGTCCTTTCTGTTTCTTGTCATATTCCTCTTCAATGATGCTGCCGTTGAACGCTTTTGAGTCGGAGTCGGGGCCTGAGTAATAGTAGCCTCGTTTGCAAGTACAGCGATAGCTGCCTCGTTTGAAACCTTGGTTGGCGATTGGCTCACACTGGAAAACAAAAGGAACCCTTTATAAGTTAAATGCCACGTCGCGAGGTGTACGTTGTTGTAACCTGTTAAAACAGTTCAACACCTTCTGCAATATTTATATGGCGCTTATATCATTAACTAGTATTGTTTCTTGGCGATTTTCTTGGTCATGTGATATCAGGAGCCATAATGGCTCCTGGTGATATTTATCATTTTTCGCCCAGGTGAGATGAGAGGAGTCTGGTTGTAATTCCTCGGTCTGCCACACCATATTTACCACAAAAACTTGACCCATTTTTTTTTCTCACGAATTCGACAAAAATGCACCAAGGGCAACGAGAATGCACGCACTTATAAATTTTATTTACACTCGAAATTACAGAGTAATTTTTTTTCTGCTAATTTCTTCGAGCCACCGAATGTTACAAATTAAAATAATGAAAGAGAAATTTTAACAAAGCTAACAAATTCATGCAATATTCCATAACAGCATTAATTTGCGGAAGGTGTTGAAATCTGTAACAATGTGATATTAATTTCTAAGTGTGTTCCAGGATTTGGCCCCCTGGTAACTAAACGTATTAAGACCATATGTAGTTATACATATGGTCAGGGTGAAAATATGAGTTCCTATTGACAAATAAGTGCTGGATCGCATAGTAAGCAAGTCTTTTAAGCTGTTTAAAATGTGGGCATACATATACGTGTATCAGATACAGCCTCCCCTCTACGTATACACTCCCAGGCCGGTTTCCAGTCGGCTGTAGAGCGCTTTTCAATTGACGCTCGAAAGTAATCAGGCAGTTACTTTGGTTTTGGTTTTACTGCGGTTCGAGATTGGCTGCGTTGGCTACTTGGTAAATAATTGGTTTGGTTTTGGATTGACAACACTCAATTGAAAACCGAGCTCTATTAGCAGGCTACAAAACCATAAAACTCTCTTGGTAAATCACTCAATGACTGGCCTCACGGGGAAACTGAGAATTGTTTCCCTGTTTGCTTGGTGGTTATTAATACTGAGACGGGTCCATCTTCTTCCCGCCACCTGGAAGAGAGACACTGGGAACGATTGGACAATTTGAAATTGCGTTCAGCCTTACCTGTGTCGATTTCTTACATTTGTGCGTGCCAAGAAAATCGAGAAGCTTCACAGAGTCTGTACTTCCAGTTCTGTCACTGTTTCCATTCTTCCCTCCGCTGTCCGTCAAAGACGAGTCCTGGGCATCACACTGGTTTATATCGATGCTGCTCAACTCAACGTCTATACTTACTACACCGCTAAACAAGAGAATTAACCAACAAAATGAACATTTATAAGATAGGACGAAACAAGCCACGCTATTCAAGAGCCTTCTAACAAAATGTATCGAGGTTGGGAAGCTAATCCGTTGCTACAGAAGCGGTTTACGTAAGGACGGGTGCACAGGCTCATTAAACACGTTGGATACGCGGGTTTAAAAGTCCCGAGTGCGACACGCGAGGACTCCACGACCACATTGTCCAATTGTCTGAAAACAGAATACGTTTCAATAGTTGTCACATTCAATTGCTGGTAAATCGATCGATAAAAATTTTAAGAATCTACTGATCTGCTAGACTCGTTTTCTTAGCTGAAGGTCCGTCTTTAATCTGATATGGTTCTTAAGGACGTTCGCGCTAATTGTTTCTACGCATCCTTACTTCGCACGTAAATTCACACGCCACGCCATGCATGAGCGCGCGCGCTAAGTAATAAAATGAACAATGATAGGGCAGATGGCCATTGCTATGGCTTTTCCTGGATTTAACGATCTTGGTCGTTCGGTGACCCCTATTTTTCTTTTGATGGATCATTTTCTCGACCGATTTTCTACGTTTAGCGAAAAAATGAAGAAAATCTATCGACTAGAAGTTTGAATT